AAAATTAGGGCTTAGTTGAAATGAAACAGGTTTTTTCGAGCTCACCTGCAGTCCTCCAGACGAAGAATCCAAATCTTAGAGGTTCACGAAATGGCGTGGTCGTTTCTGTACAAATTAGGGTAAAATGCTCGATTTCAATGTTTGGAACACGAAACGACCAACGAACAAACACAAATTAACGTAAATGGAATTTAACAAGCTTAAGATAACGACCCTAACGAAGCTCACCTTTACAGTTGACGGAGAAGCCGAAGAAGAAACCTTCTCAACAATGGCGTCGGGCTTGCTGCGCAAACTAGGGCAAGAAAATGAATGGTCGTCATTTCCATTTTAATTGGTATGGAAGTGTAAATTGAGGTAAATTCAAGGGTAGTTTAGTATTTTGGTATCTGTTTTTGAGGGTAGAAATGGCAAGATAAAATCCGGACTAAATTATCATAGGGGGGTGGTGGGATTTTTTAATCGCAAATTGGCTGATGGAATGCTGCCAGCTCACCGCCATGTCATCAAAATCCCGTCCCCATCCGCGGAAGTAAATGTAAGATAACCGGGACTGATTGCCTTATCTTATCCCAATCCCGCAAAGTAAACGAGCCCCTAGAGAATAATGAACAGATGACAAAGATACAGTGGGGCAATAATCAAGCTGCACAAATCAAAACAGAATAAGAACTTTAAATAAAATTACAAAAAATAAAAGAAAAACTACTAAGAAGACTTTACAAATTGCTACACACATATGGTAAATTCTACACTAAATTTGTACCGAATGATGGCCATGGGGGTTTCACTTTTAACCTTGTTTAGCCTAACTTCATCTTTCAGGGAGTGCAAATCTTTCACAGCTTGAAGGCATACGAATACTCCGTGTTTCCTTTTTCCCCTTCCATGAAGATCACTAGGCATGAAGAATATAGTTTTAAGAAATCAAAATTTTAAATTTTTTCTCGATAGTCTCAATGTACTTTGGCAAGTGACCGGGTCGAAACACCATGCAGTAACTTAACAAATCCGAGAAAACTAAGCTTTCCATCTGTGTGTCTAATCCAGTCATGGAGAACCGCATGAACGGGAACAGAAGGGCTAAGCCCAAGCTCCTGCATGGATGAGAGTGAGTGAGTGAGAGAGAGAGAGAGAGAGAGAGAGAGTGGGGGGG